GAACATTCTTTTTACCTCGATACAATGAACAGGACAATGGAAACTCCGATGTAGGAGAAAATAACGCACACCCAGATTTCTTTGCTCAGCGGATTCAGAAAGCTGAAGACTCCGGGTTTTTGTTTGACGGGCTTTTTTATCATGATGCTAATGCCGAGAGACATGAACGGTTTACTGAAATCGACCACGCGTTCCCGCTCGGAAGTGATGGTAAGAGGACCAATTGCTATATCGGCCTCCTGTAAATTAAAATATAAAATAATTTATATAAAATTGTCATTTAATGTGTTTGATAGCATTGCGATAGATTAATTTAATGATTTTTCTGCTTGTTTTTGTAATATCGACATTTTACATAAGTGTGCGTATTTACGCACACTTATGTAAAAGACGCAACGCAAAGCTTTAGCTAGCTTTTCGTTTACTCCGAGCTTCCATCAGATGGAGCCTCAAATCGAATGTAGACGATTGACGAACTTGCAAGCTCTGGGCATCTGGTGGAATAGCCACGAACTCGTTGTTGAACGATAAAACAGTTTCTTGTTTGTAGCTCTGACTGCGACTCAGGCGACGATCAATAGCTCTCTTATCTCTTTCTCTTTCTCTCTCTCTCTCTCTTTCTCTTTTTCTCTGGAAGCTCGGAGGTTCAATTACTTCGAGGCGTATTTTTGTATGAACTTTCGAGGAGCTCCGCCGAGTTTCGGTAAAGAAACATAACGTTCCTCGCGTCCACAGACGTGACGAATACAACGAAATTACTGAAACTCACCTTTCTGATAAGCTCGCCAATCATGCCGTCCCAACCACCCGGTACATCGATGTTCTCCGTACCGTATTTCTGATCCTTCACGATCCGTAGCTCGTCTGAAAATTTGTAAGAAAATATTTTACAAGGAGCGCGCGCGCGCAAAACAGCATTTCTTCCGCGAAACTTTTTCCATTATCGATTCCGCGCGCGCGGAAGAGGCTTCGTTACGTCTTTCAGGTACTTGTCAAGAGCGCCGGAGCTGACTTTGGCAAATTTTGCTCGTGTTAAAAGTAATTCTTGCTCTTGTGCGAGTTAAATAAGAGTCCTTAGCATTAATAATTGGAAATTAGTTGAAAACCACATCGGAGAGAAAGCATTGAAACAAACTGCGCAGTCTCACTCTTTCTTTTCCGTCGTAATTTTATATGCCGTACTATTATAAAAGTGATAGACATTAAATAATATTCCAAAAAGAAGCAAGAGAGCTGCTATGTATAATACATTGATTTTATAAATTACTATAAACTTACATGATATACCCAACTTCTTGGCAATCATGTCGGCTAAGTCCTTGCAATATCCTTCGTAAATGTCATTCCCGATTAACGTTTCACTTGGATCTTTTTTCATTAAATAAGGCGGTTCCTGTATAAATCAAAATTATAATTTTGATATACAGTGTTTTTTATCATGCGTATATAGGAGAATTAACAAATTCACTAACACGCCTCATCAGTTTTACTCACCAGTATAGTGGTGACAATGTAAGTTTTATTCTTTTCGATTTCATGCGGACGAAGTCGCACATATTTTGCGGCTATTGCTTGAAAACCAGTCTCGTCAGTCCACTCGGCAACCTGCAACAATAATATGCTTATATTCACAAAGCAATAATATAAAATCATATTTTATATGTAAAATGATAAAAATACGAAGACTTACTTTTACCATGGCGCTGTTGACAGTCATCTCGACGACGTGAAGCGTGTAATTCTGTCGTCGGCCATCGTCGTTGAACCGTATCTCTCCTGTTAACCCTTCAATCTCAACCTGTGAGCAAATATGCATTTTACGTTGCAATGAAGTAATAAACGTTACATACGTATTTTTACATATTGACGTACATTATAGCAAGGAAATAAAAGAAAATATGTAAAAATGACTAAAGAACTGTGTTTCTAGAAAAAGTTTTTAAATTTAATAAAAAACAAGATAAGATACACATTATTATTGGCAAAACACAAAGATTGTATATTGTCATCCTTTAAATTTTATTCTAAAAGTCACAGTAATCTTCAATATTTTATTATACTTTTTCGCTGTTATACAGAAAGATTTGCTAGAATAACAAGAAATAAGTTATATGACCAGCAAGAAACATTTGCTAAGCTTATTGAGATTTCTGGCGTAACGTAAAACGTTTTGTTGATAAAGCAAAAATTCAATTGACTCAACAATTTATTTTGCTGGCCATATAATGGAAATAGCAAGTCGTTTTTGAAAAACTTTTAAATCAAATCAAAGGTAATGATTCAAAAAAAAGAAGCGAAGTAAAAAAGTAACGGCACATATACGTAAAGCCAGAATGACGAAGAACTATTTGACGCGAACGTAGGAATTCTGTTGGAGTCGGAATAACCGCCAATTACTGTCAAGAGCAGAGATGCGTCGAGAAGGGTCCGTGGCAATTTCAGTCGCCACGGTATTTCGCAACGTATTGAGTATTCTATCCTTTAGATCGTGTCTCGAAAATTTGAGAATAAATTACATGTTGTGGTCAACGCATGACTGCGTATTGTTATTCGCATTATTGCAATACAAAGTCAAATAATGAAATATCATGTTATTTACTACTAATACATATCCATTAAATAGAGGCAATCAATAGCATAAATTTGAAATGTAATATTCGGTAGGTTACATTAATTTATAATATATTTACTTAATTTAATGTAACAAACCGGCAACACTGTAATTGTACATGATAGGGTATACTCTTAATTATATACATATTATATACATATATATATATATATATATAAGTAAATATAAAAATATATCCACACCTACATATACTTAATTTTGCTCCGTCATGAAAATATTATGCGTGCTGCATCTTATTCTTATTAATGGGATTAATCTATTCACCTTTCTCAAAAGTCTCGAGATTTTGTCGCCATATTCCCACGGAGTCACCCAGTTGCGATTGTTGTAACAGTCCAAGGCTTTCTTTTCCGTTCCGTTTGTCGGCTGATTACTGCCCGGAGTTCCTATCCGTCTTGTGCTATTTTTATCGGTTCTTTTTCTCAGAAACTTATTAAAGGCCTCAACCAGGACGAACACGGCGTCATACATCAGAGCGGCTTGCGCCTAATTTTGACATATGTGCGACAAATTACTTCCACGTACAAGTGTTAATTGCAAACAGTAACAATGTTTTCGCAAAGCAGTATACTTGTAACACAAAATTGTATTGTCATGCATCAGATAAGGTTTGTTTTTTATCAGATCCGTTCAAAGATCTGAGAAAAAAAAAGTGAATACTCGATGGAGTCATTAGAAGGAACGCGTGAAACACAGTCGACACGACACGGTCGGACGGGCGGCACTTTATAAACACGCTGAAAAGTCCAAGTTTCTACATGCGGGTGCAGTTTAACAAGTTTGGGTCTCAAGCCGCTGTGCACACAGGGACGCGCGAACGGCGCGGCGCGCGTTCGCTTGCCAACAGATCGACACCCGCTCGACGATTCTTGTTTGATTCTCATTCCTCGTACAAAAGTTTCGTTGTCGTCGTCGTCGAAAGCGACGAAGAAACCTGGAAGAAATATTCGATTCACTCGGGAGAGGAGAGGGAATCGTCGAGAAGTGCTCTGAGGATTTCGTGCGGTGAGTAGTTTTCTCCCTGGACACCGTGCCGTATAGCTGGCGAGAAGCCGAGTCGGCGACACAGAGATAGGAGAGCGAACGTAAGAAAAAAGAAACGATGAAGTCTCGCAGGAGTAACGAGCGCCGAGGAGAGAAGAGATACGTGCGGCTATGTGTATACGTACGGAAATGGATTCACGACCGGCGCCTTGAAACGTGTTGGGATCCATGCGATGCCAGCCGGCCAGGAAGTCCTTGACGTGAGGTCGAGTGGCATCCACGATGCGAAAGCCCGTGATGTTGATGGCGCCGTACTCGATCACTTCGCTCTCCCATCGGTCGTCCATTATCTGATTACAGCGAAGCACACGCGATATCGATATATATATATATGTATATATATATATATATGTATATATATATATATATATATATACACACATCGACACACACACACACACACACACACACATAAGAAGAAAACTCAACAATGTCTGCGTCGAGCAAAGTAGTATTATTTTAGTTCGCTCCGTCGGATAAAGATTCACCGTTTTAAAGCTACTCTTCGTCTTTCGGCGTACCAAAGAGATACAGTGTATAGTTTTGTGAAAAGCGTCCGCTCCCCCTCGACAACGAGGTCCTTGATCTTTTCCCCGCATCTTTTAAGTCGACTCGACGATGGGCACTCGAGTCACTGCAATATTATTACGGCGCGTTATTACCGCGTTTCCTTTGTGCCCTTATGAAAAACGTAATAGGACTGACGTCTCGATTCCAACTGAGACCAACTGCATTTAATTGTTCGAGAAGCTCGAATGCAGCTGCCGTTTCAGTTTTACGTTGATATTGCATTGTTACTTGCATATTATGCGCGGCGAAAACCTCGAAACGGTGAAAAGCTCGGTGTTCGTGTTAACGCCCGGCAGTTTCTTCCGAACGACCGAACGGCGAAGGCAAAGGAGGCAAGAAGTGAGAAAATTGATACGTTTGCACCGAGGCGCGCGTACTACTCGTGAGCGCGTATTACGCTCGCGAAACGATAAGTCCAATTACAATTGCTATTACTTATTTTCGTTATCATTAAACTAACGAGCAAAGTATAGAAAACAGGCATGTGCGCCAGTACTGGCAACAATATGGTTTTCAAAGAAACAATTTTGAAAACGGTATGAATACGGCACTTATATGGAATGAAACTAATAATATTCGGTATGCGATTGCAAATGTTATTAGACCACGTATTGCGCGACCTATCCGTCCGATCCGTCCGTCACTTTACTACTGCGCGCGGCCATCTACCATCATCCATCAACCGACTAGAGATAATACATTGCCGCCATTAATGTTGTGTACGTGTTTAACTTCGTTGCGAATGAGTCCGGTGCATTACCAGTTTAATTTGTCGGGTTTGATATCATCGCGTTCGCCATTGCAGCGTTGACTTTTGAACTTCTGCATTTGCGGTTTGGAGAGCGGATAAAGTTTTGCAATATCAAACATCGCGTCGGTTGTTCGACAACTATCAGGTTTTTAGATAGCTTGAAGCGCAAAACAGATTAACGCGGCGCGAAAATGCGAGAGAATAAATAATACGATTATATGTGGAAAAAAAATTACACAAGTAATTATAAACCAGAGAAAGTAGAATTAAATCAAGTAGAATAATGTAATGCAAATGCAGAAAGAACAAAACTTATTTTTGAGATACTTTTTAACTAATCAATAAATATAAGAAAAGCAAAATTTTTTACAAATATTATTACTGGTCGTTGTGAGTTTTCATATAAAATAACAAACGCAGAGAAACAGAGGAAATATGAGTCGCAAAAGAAACAGCAAAATATTGAAAATGGCAAAAGGCAGAAAAATGTGAGAATCGACATGTCAAGGTAACGTAGTAAGCAACCATTTGAAGAACGACGCGATAAATGACAATGGCATGTCTCTTAGAGAGACAAAACTGGATGTACATACATGCAGGTATATACAATTATCTTCACCCATTGCTGGGAATGTAATGCCGCCCTGCTCTTCTGCAGCAACTCGTTGGAAGCCGCTAAACACAAGCAAACTGTCCTCTAAATTCTAAAGTACGGCGTAGACATCACCGAAGATCTTGCCTCTTCCCTCCTTCTCCTTCGCCTCACGACCGAGCGCTTCGTGTCAGTTTGAGCGACGCACAGTTTCTCTCCGGTTGTTTCGAAAATTTCGCCATGTTGCGAATTAATCCGTCATTCCGTTATAATGCAGACGGTATACAAGTTAGTGCACTAGTGCACTCAGGCAGAACAAAAGTCATTGTTTCGCTTATCACATTTGCCGAATAAAAAAGTTCACAGGTGATTCTAATGTAAGTGGTAGAATCGTCATTTACACCAGACAGGCAAAAATAATATTTGATAAATAAAAGAAATGTAGTACAATATTATGAGGGAATTCGAAGGAATAATTTTTGGTTTACTTACTAAGCCACTCAGCAGATAGTGATACGTTCTCTTTCCTAAAGCTACGTCCCTCACATGACTCACGACGATATCCTTCGCCATATCCGTTGGGCAATCGAGAACGACGTATTTGTTGCTCCATCTAAAATAGTTTCAACGTTGTTTTGAGATTAGCTATCCGCGGTAAATAAAAGGTAACATTTGGCGACGTTGAATTTTCTCTATCGGAAGAGAGTGACAAGTCTGGTTGCGCGGTAGTGCACGATGTAATTCACGCGTTGCGTTAATGCGCGCGCGCGCGCGCGCAGCTTTGTCGCGTTTGATCGATGCACATCGCGGAGTTTCCATGCTCATTTCGTTTGTAATAATTGGATATTGTATGGCAATTTGCGATAACGCTGTTGTGTTTTCGGTAACTACTATGCTCGACCAATTCAGACCGCGATGGCAATTACTCGCTGTTGTTGATTACTTGCATAGCGCAAATGCGTAGCCGCTGGTGAATTGTAGCGCGAGCACGTCAACTCGTGTTGTGATCAAACTTATTCGTCACACCGCTGGTATGCTATTTGCAAATATATTGTAATATTAAAAAATATAACAGATATATTTATATACATATATATATATATATATATATATATATATATATATTTGTGGAATATTAGCGAGCATTGTGAATAGAAGAAAATTAATATTACTCTTCTGCGTCAATATAAAGAGAGAAAAAATCTTGAAAGCTCTTGTGCAAACCAATACTTTGAATCTTTTAAACATCTATTATTCTTATAGAAAAGTGTCATATAGATTTTATATGCATGGTAGTATTTCAGTCAAGACACTCACCGACTAAGTTCCTCTAGACTGCGTAGAAAATCGATCGCTTCTGACATATTCTGTATTCTCTTGACAGTTTCAACTTGAAAGGACTCGTTGCCTGGTTTCAGCCCTTGATAAATCTGCTGCAGCCTGAGTAATCCTGAAACCCACAGGCGTTTAATTAAATTATAGGAAACACTTATATACACATGCGCGCCGTGTGCGCGCGCTGTACAGGTTCGACACACAGAGCTCGGGTTACCACTCGTCGACGTGTGCGCATCTTCCGAAAATTACATACGCACGATTGCGCGTTACATAGACCATGTCGTAATTCATTGGCAGCCTCTGTTCAGTCTGCGGTTTCTCGCACGGTATGAAATATTGCCTGTCTACGGAGCTGCGCCCTCTAAGTTATAGAGAATGTCGTAGACCGTTCGATTTGAAACCGCCTCATATTTTCGGCAGCCGACAAAGTTTAATCGCGTCATAATGTATCGCCACACTTATGACATTATGCACATGTGACTCTCGTTGTTAGTATAATGTCAAAAGTGCAATACATTATCGCGGTGTACTTAAGAAAATTCGTATAATTGTATACAAGCAAATATATTGTATTAAATTTGTTGAAAGTAATGCAATGTAAAAATTGCCGAATTCATGAGTACCTATTTGCAATCTCTACAAATATTCTAATATTCACAGATCTGTGAATGTTCACAGTTCCACTCGACTGTACAAATACATGCATATTGCATGCCACTGTTTCTGGCGAATACACCGAATTATTCGAATTATGTGCACTATGTTATTGTGAGATATGATCAAATATCAGTAGACGTTCACGTGCACGTGCGCGAGCAACAAGGGCAACGAGCTGCGGGACAGAATTCACAGAGTAGATTCTGATCGGACATCTCGTAAATTCATGGTGGAATCTATGGCGTGATTTGTCGCAAAATGCAGAAACGCAATTTGTATATATAGCCGGCGTTTATTGCGTTCGGAAACTACGCCAACATCTTAAACATCTATCCGCGGCAAACGTCTACTTTAGGCCATTCGTACTGGCATAACAATGCGCTCGAACTCGTCGTTGGTTTTACGATTATGGCCAGCCGGTGTAAGTTATGACAACATATTGCACAACGTAGACGCACTGTGAGTTATGACGTAGAAAATTTTTGCCGGCGAGTTCGCATCGCAATCGAGAGATGAACATTTTTTTTATTGGTCGAGAAAATATCAGTGAAAAAAAAAAAACGATCGGCAAGATGCCGAACGGCGGTTTTGAATATCAGAGACTGGAAGAAGAACAGCTTGCGAGAGAAAGTCTCTCGGAAAAGAAATGTGAATAGAGTCGGTGCGTTTTGTGAGTAATATTTCTTGATAGATAATATCGCGAAGAAGAAGAAATATTTTAAATGACACGCGAAAATATGTAGTCGTACTATTTACATTATTATACATATATGCGACACTATATTTTATTTTAACCAAATCTAAATTATTTATTTTATTATGTATGACATATATGTTAAAAAGTGTGATGAATCTCTCTGCTGCTTATTATATAATAAAAATTCTGACAGAGACGAAAAGTAATAATATAGATTAATGTGGCGCCGGAGGATACGGAAAACATGATGTAGAAAAACATATCTGGTCCTATCGCCATATTTTTTTTCTGCCGTCACATGTAAAAAGGATGACCAGGGTTAACGAGCGCGACTCTGCACACACACACACACATACATATATATATATATATATATATATATATACATGTCTGGTCGAACATTACAAAAGAGCTTGACATTTCGACAAGCGCTATTGGTTTCTCGCAAAAATTCCCACTTTACTCCCAATCCTTTCGACGCAATCAACCAAGATCTAAAAAGAGCTTCTTCTTGCGCGACAATTGCCTACGTGTTCTATATTTAAACAATTATTATTAATTGACAGATACAAAATTCCGATAATAAAATAATTTCTCTCTCTCTCTCTCTTTCTTTCTTAAATTTTCTTTAAATATATGTATCGCATATTTCGGAGAATATAAAAATATGATAGGGAGATAACATCTTGTACTGTGTCTTGTTACTATAGTTTTCTTTATTTGTACGTCATATCAAAACATGATTTTTCTAACATGAGATTGAAAGAACGAAGCAAAAATGATTCCGCGATGTCAGAATTTGACTGCGCCAGAGATTAACATGACAAACTGTCGTGTCGCGTCACTGATTGAACGTACCAAACTGTGCATCGAAGTAACGGACATTTTAATTACGAATTTATGTTGTCTCGTCAAATTTCAATATGTATTAAATTTCTTTGTGCGACCAACGTCGCAACAAACTCTCTCTCGCGTTTCATTGAACGCACAATTCGTTCGATATATCAAGAACGTGGTTATAAGCTACCTTGTTATATATAACGTGTGTCGAGCACCTGCGTGTGTATAACTTGTGTGCACACGATCCCTTTAGTCATTATAACCGAGTCCTGGTAAGTAGAGACGCTGGTAATCGCGGCGCCAGGCTTTGAAGCCCCCCAACGCTCGTTTGTAAAGCGTACGTGTGCACAATATCCGTATCGTCATGAGATACAGATCTACACGTGTGTGGAGTATAAATAATGATTTGAAATTTCACAGAACTCTCGCAGCTTACAGAAGCAGAGAAGCTTTGATGTGTCGTTTCATCCAGCGCGACAACAATTTCGAGCAGTGACTTCTATATGTATATATACATATATATATATATATATATGTCATGTGTGCTTAGGATATTTATCTTATTACGAGAAGTTTTCTTTATAATCATTTAGCGATGTTAAAATGGTCAATAAGGCATTTAAAAAGTGATAAAGGTTGACTAAATAATATTCTCTCTCTTTTTCTCTTTCTCTCTCGATTTGCTTGGAAAAAAGATTGACTTAAATCAATAAGATACGGGTGCGTGAGTAAAACCGTGAGAAGACATGCAGTCCAATTGTACTCGGTGACATTTAATACGTTCCAAATCACGAATCGATCTGTCGACTTCCGTGTCCCGTTGTAGTTACGAGACAACTAATTATCGACGCGTAGCTAACGTCAATCGGCAGGTTCGAAAACGAAAAGCCAAAAGAGAATGAAACTGCACATACCAGTGTAGCGCGCGCTTTCCGACGACTGCAATATATTCGCAAGTCTCTCTACGCAAACTGTACTACTATTGTAATACATATTATTTTATATATCAGGTAGATTCGAATCAATTTCTTCGAGTTGAAGTTTACTCTTGAATTCTAAGAAAAGTTTTCCAAAAAGTAGATAATTGAAAAACTAATTGCGTAAAACAATCTTCGAGTAGAAAGATTCTTCAGACTTTTCTCAATTGGCATATTTAGCTTCAGCGCAGTTCGCAGTTCTCATTTGATTTGACTTTCCTTGTACTTATATACAACCGATGTATATAATAACAATTATAGCGCAATATAATAAAAATACGGTTGTACATATATCACATCTATTTGCAAGTTATTGTAAACCAGAAGTTTAGCGGGAAAAGTTTTTCCTAATTAGATTTACTTTATCTCTTTATTAAATCGATTCGAAGTTTGAACAATTTTTTATTGTTTTATTGTTAAAATATACACTCAGCAAACTTAGGATAGATTAAAATAAATTTTTTTACACACACACGCACATATAAGCACAGAAATATTAATAATGTGACAAGAAATTAATCGATCGCAATAAAGAGTTTAAAAATTGTATTTATTTATGTTTAATTTTATGTTTGTATATTAATGTGAAAAGTTTTTTTCTTTGAAAAAGAACTGTTTAATATTTTTTTCTGCGTAAAAGATCGTTATTGAAGGAGTTCGGTTGAGAACTTTTTTCTCGCAGCGGTCCCCCGGGACTCTGTTGTAACCAATAAATGCCTCAATAAGCTTTTTATTAGATAACTATGTTCGCGAGCGTGATAATTCGATTCTGGCGTCTCGTATCTTTTGTTGTTATGTTTCTCTTAAGTGCGACGTTGTTGGTACAAATACACGCCGCCATTTCTTCTCGTCCGTTTCTCGTAACTTATTTTTGCCCAGTTTGCACTAAATAGAAGTCGGAACTGCTTTGGAGCGGTTCAGTTCAACACAACCTGCACTACACTATTTCCTAACTTCGACGTTAAGCTTTTTTTTTTGCGCAAACTTCAGTCCTGTTCTTTGCAATTAGCGTCGTTCTCATCGTATCGACTGTGAGATCCGTAATTTCACTCTCGAATACAGAAAGAAAATATATGGGTCTGAGATCTTACACGAAATTACATAATATATATTAAAATTAATAAATAGCATATATGTATATTCTGTCTCTTATCACACAAATTCGGAAATAAGTAATTAGGCAATCTCTTTCTTAATTACTACCTAATTAAGTTTCTTGAATTATTCATTAATATATTAACATATATTTAATAATCTATCATTTATTAAAGAGTATTTTAAACAGTTTGTAACGTTCATCTAGTTTTATACAGTACCTATACACATCTAGCGCGCGCATGACGATGATGTACTAATTTCTTCGTATTGCAGAAGAACAGTCACATGTAACGCGACAACATCCGTGTACAGACGCGGACACAACCATCCGCGACCGCATAGATGTCCCTTGGGCAGGCACGCGAGAGTCAGTTTAGTGCGGTGCGCATGCAATCCAGTCTCTGCATCCTCGTATCAGGAGGATGGCCAGCGGTTTCTCGTGTCGCGTACTTCCAGAGGAAAATGCCGTCGAGACTGCCGGAAACTAACATCGCGATGGAGAAACAAGCAATGCGCCGTCCCTACAATGCAACAGGATCGACCGATGTCTGATTGTATCTACGACGAGCTGAGCTTAAAGCGGAACACGTCTTGTTAGGCGCGACGGACACGGAATAAAGTCTTCCCTTATCGGTTGTCTTTCGAAATTTGTGTGCTTTTCTTGAGACGCTTTGTTTTCTCATCACGTTTACATGAATCACGATCTGCTCTCGCGATCTTTTAGAGATCAACATATTCTGAAAGTTAATAAAAATCAAATAAAAGTTAAAATAAATATGTTATGTTAAAAATAAGTAATGTGTTCATGGTTGTTAAATTAATGATTATTATGTTCGGATAGAA